ATGCAAATGAAACGGAAACCCATCAACACAATCAAAGCTAACAGCACAATATTCTAATCAGTGCAAACACGCAGTACATAGGGCTGGGCGACATGGCAAAAAATAAAATCAAACTTTTTTCATAATGATCGATTCAAGATAACAATTTCAATTTTTACCGTTTGAAAAGATGCATGAAACATGAAGGCAAATATTGTACAAGCTCTGCCTATATGTTCAGAAATAATATAAGAAAATGTTAAATATTTCTTAGCCAAAATGTAAGCATTCAGCTTCAGAGGTCATCTCAAAAAATAAACGTTTTGTAAAAAAAAAAAATCAAACATACACGTAGTTTTTTTTCCCCATTCCACTTCATCAGTGACTCATCACTTCACTCTCAAACAACGTCTTGTGTTTTTCAATGCAAAACCACATTTAGGACTAGCAATACATTTTATGTTATGGCATCATAAACAGTCGGCTCATTTTTGGAGAAGGAAACTACCAGGCATGACATCAACTATTGATGATTTGATGGAAAACAGACCTCCGTGTCTCGTTCCAGAGAGTGTAGGAGTTCAGTGTGAGCACAAAGACAAATCCTCAGTCAATGTGAAATGTGCGGTGCATTAGTGTGTTCAGAGGTCTGATGTTCAAGTCACTCCTCAATGGAATCAGAGCATGACTGAGTAGAAAAAAACCCATGTTCTTGTTACACACTTCAACAGAATGCAGCCTCGACCCGTGCCAAAACCACACAGACACACCCAGAGCAATCAGAAGACACTTCACGGAGCCAAATCTACACTTTTGTAGCAGTCCCTTAGTGGTCGACCGATATGGGTTTTTTGACAGCCGATGCCGATATCTTGGAAAGCAGGGTGGTCGATGGCCGATATAATTTTATTTATTTTAATTTATATTTAAGAAATTTGAAATCATTTGAAAATGGATTAAAAATAATTGTGTAAAATAAACATACTTATACTTTAGAAGACAAAGCATTTTTCACAAATAAATAAATATTTAATAAAAATCTAATTAAAAAGGAAGTAAACACTGTAACCAACAGGGCACTCAGTATTCTGGGAAGTTTGTGTGAATAATTTTTATTTTTTTTCAAATAAAGCCAAGGTAACACTCAGTCTCCAGACAGCACGCAATTAAAATAACATGAATATGACAGTGGGCAACTGCATAAAATGCAGCATAATTTGAAATCACGAGTTTAAAGTTTGTCGATCGCGCGTCTCCAGTGAAGCTGAACTCTCCTCCTGTCTGTATTCAATTCACAAGTCAAGTCTGCAAGGTTTGTGAAATTAAATGTTCATTAGTCATTCAAAGATTTGTTTAAATTATATAAGCTAAGCCTGTATAGATGCAGTTCAAACAATCTGAGACAAAACCTAAACAACAAACGTATTTAAATGCACATTTGCAGTGACGGGACTGATTATTAATGAAACCTCATGTTTTATTGAAAAATCACACTTACGGCAGTTTTGCATTTCATTGTGATTCATTTAACTTTGATTCTACATCCTGTAATTCTACAGGGGCCTTAAAGTGAAGCTCCATTAGATTCCACTGAACGACCAAAGGCACAGCTTAAATGAGCAGTTGCCTGAAAATATAAGCTGATCTGTTATCTCTGAACATTCAGAGAGGAAACAGGCCTGTCAAACACATCCCATCCGAGCTCTCTTTGATTGCTCATGAAATGTGAATAACTGAAATGGGCTGTTGGGTTTTTGGCAGGGATGTAAAATGCGGGCATTCACATTCAGATCCCTGCTGCTCCGGCCCCGGAGCTCATCTGCTGCTCAGAGAAAACGCTCAACCTTCACCGGAGGAAAAAACTGCACAATAAAACCCCTACAAATTAAATGCATTCATAACGAGCCATTTTGTGGCATTAAATGCAGCTTTAATGACCATTTTACCATAATACCAGGGTTACCGCTATTACAATAAAATGTGCAAACAAAACAACCAATTCTGGAAGCTTCTTATACTGACAGAAGGAGATCTTGCACTGATTTATTATGATTTCAGCGCAGCGGTTTTTGGCATAAACTGCTACAAATGTGAAGAATTTCATCGAGTAAAACTGACAGAATTGAAATGCATAGTAGTCATTATCTAAACAAGGCTGATGAAGTAGATGAGAGGCGTCAGCGGCTATCCAAACACTATCTCGGTGTAACATTGACGCTGTCACAACACTCTCAACAAGATGGCTGAGAGAAGACGCTCAAGATGGCTGTCACACTTCCCACAACACTAACGCGACCGATCCGTGCTAACAGCCGAATCACAAACTGCCTACGCCACCTCTGCAGCACTCAAACACACAGCACACATCAGTCCAAACTGCTGGGCTTCTTTAAGAGCGCTCTCATGTTACAGGCCGGTGCGGCGCGCTCTCCTTCATGGCAGTGACCCACATTAACGGGAAGTCTCTTTTGTCAGGCTAACACTGGCCAAGAGATGTAGAGCGGAAAGCTCTGTCACTGTCCTTCCCGGCGATCTTTACACGCTCACAGTAACTCAAGACCTTCAAAAGCACATAACCAGTCATCCAGAGCCACCTGCACTACAAACCAGGAGCCGGACAGTTTTCTAGTTTACAAAATTTCACATTTAAAGATTTAAAAAACAATGAATCTTGTGCTACATTGTGCAACAAAAGTTAGAAATTACAAAACGTCGTATCACGTGTAGCCTTATGAAAATGTGCTCAGACTATTTAAAAAAAACATTGATTTGAGTTATAGAGAATAGTGTTCACAGAAGTTGTGTCCTTAAAATTAAAAATCATTTTCTTATATAATTATGAATTGTAAATACACCGTCCCTCAAGCCATGCAGCTAGCGTCACTTAATGTTCGTAATTATGGCACATCATGCAAACATGTTTGCGTCACTTTATAAAACATTTTCTTCTTGCAGAGAGTGCAGGAATGGACCATAATGAACCTCATGCACATCAACCGATAATAAACCAATATAAACTAATGATCATTTTAGTCCACATTTGTCTTCCTCTGTCCATCTCTTTGTCTTCTCCCTTTCCATCCTTCTCCCTTTTCCAGTCTATCTTTCTATCCACATTTCTGTCTCTCCCTGTCTCTTTCCCTTTCCATTCTTCTCTCTTTTGCAGTCTTTGTCTTTTCCTGTCCATTTTTGGTCCACATTTCTGTCCATCTCTTTCTTTTTCCCTTTCCACCCTTCTCTTCTTTGCTGTCTATCTTTCTGTCCACATTTCTGTCTCTTGCTGTCCATCTATCTCTATTTTCCCTTCTATCATTCCCTTTGCTTCGTGACCATATTTTTGTCTTTTCCTGTCCATTTTATGTCAACATTTCCCTTTTCCTGTCCATCTTTGTATATTTTCTTTCCATTCATCCCTCTTTTTATCCACTTTTGAGATGTTCCTGTCCATCTTTTTGTCTTGTTCTATCCACTCCTGCATATCTTTTTGTCCACATTTGTCTTGTCCATCTCGGTCTCTTTTCCTGTCCATCTCTCTGTCCACAGTTGTTTTTTCCTGTCCATTTTTGTGCACATTTCTGTCTCTTTCTGTCTTTTCCCTTTCCATCCTTCTCTCTTCCCCTATTCATCTTTCTAGCCACATTTCTGTTGTTCCTGTCCATTATTTTGTCTCATTCGTATTTCCCTTTTTATCCACATTTCTGTCTCTTTCCATCCATCTCTCTCTCCCTCTTCTTCCCTGTCTATCTTTTTATCTACATTTCTGTCATTCCTCTCCATCTTCTTATCTTACTGTCTCTTACTGTCCATCTCTCGGTCTCATCGTCTTTTTTAACACATTTGTGCATTTTCCTGTCCATTTTTCCACCTTTATGTCTCTTTGTCCTTTCCATCCTTTTCTCTTTCCCCTATTTTTGTTCACCTTTCTACTCTTATCCCTGTGTTTTTCTGCAGAAAAGCACTTCTGTTGATTGTTTGATATCAAAATGAAGACATCCAAACGTCCCATCTTTGTCAACTTTCCATGAGAGACAAGTCTGATGAGAGTCCCCTAAATGGTGTTCTCAAGTGAATGTAGCGAGAGACTGCAGCCCACGAGGCCAGCTGTTCACACACAAGCACACCAGCAAACACTGTGAGAAATCAACCTTAATGAATGCATGCCTTCTAAATGCAGCAAAAAATGACAAAACATCAAATTACAATTTTGTTCAATTCATTTGCTTAAAAGTGTTAGTTACCCAGGTGCCTCAAGCGAGATGCAACAGCTATTATCATAAAAACTGCAATGTTCTCCTTCAGGTCCTCTTCTAATGAAACCCTACCTGACTGAAAGCAAGAGCTGATGACCTTCTCTGTTCTCCTGCCTTGATTAATAACTTAATATCTAATTAATTAGGGAATTTAGCTGAGAGTGAAATGCTTTAATTTCCCTGAGCAGAATCTCCTGTCTGAAAACGAGTGATTAAGCATCAGAGAGGTGAAAAGTGAAGGTCGCAACGCTCCACTCTCCCCTCTTGTTCACATCTTCTTTCAGCACATTTAAAAAGTTTAATTGTGTCACGTATGACAGTCCTTTGACCAAAGCCTTTTTTCCCCCCTCCGGCACTTCACACGTTTTGTCATGTAAATGGAAAAGTATTTTCAGATCCCAACCGAGGAGTGTTCAGAGAGCGGGAACAGCAGTTTAAAGAAGATTAATGTTCTGTTACCTGCCTATTTTCTCTCAACTTCTTCAGTTCTTCAGTAATGGCTTTTACCCTGACACGATAAGACGGCGCTGCAAATTTGTTTAAATGTTAGCAGCCCATTAAAACATTCCTAAATCTGCCTTACTGTTTAAACAAGCCCAAGGGCAGATAAAACCATGCGTTTTCACTCTCACTCTGTGCTCTTTCAAATTGGAGACTTGCCCCACTTGCCTCAGATTCTCCAACCGTGAGGTTAGCGAGGACGTTACTGCGCGTAGTGGAGTCCAAATCTAGTTTAGTCCAGCTATGAGCAAGCGTGTCTGATGGACTCACCCTGGGGAAGGTCAGAGGGCAGGTATGGCACTTCTTGAGCGCTGACGTGTGTCCAGTCGAAGTCGTCGTAAGGATCCTGCTGGTAGTCGCATTGTGCGGGGCCATCATCGAAGGAGCATCCACCTAGAACAGAGGATCATTATATACATGTTACAACTCAAACACAAATGCACAACTTTATTAGTACTGTAAATGACACACACACACACACACACACACACAGCGAGATTCAAAAGTCTGTGACCACTAGTGACAATGCACATAGATTAGACACATAGAATATTTTTCTAAATGACTTTTTTTTTTCAATACAGAGAAAGTGACTGCATGAAATCCCACCCAAATACATGTTTTCTAGTACATCTTCCATTTGAACACATCGTTTTGTTACAAACTTATTGAATACTTTTTGTGACATTATTTCAAATTAGGATTATGAATGCCAAATTTTCATTTTGATCACAGACTTTCTTTTTTAGTATTATATGAATTCTTCTGCATATGATCATGATATATGAATATGAAGGTTATATGAATATGATATGTGAAAACGATGATCATTCAAGTGTTATACATGAAAGTACCATATAGTACCATCACTGAACCATGTTCAGTACTTTTCGTAAGATTAAATAGCCCCACTGATTTAGCATACGACAGAAGAACAGGACACTTTCTGCACATGCCTAAATCTAGTGCTCTAGCTCGCTCATATCAAACGTCCTCTGTTTGTGTTTCTCAAGTCAGCTATCATGTTCTTATGACAACAACCCTTCTCTGACACTGCGCCAGACATTGTTACTCATTTACAGAGATTACTGATAGCTCAGTCTTATTATGAAAACTGCAGATGAAACGGGGTGAAAATGAGTACTAGCACATACAGTCAAAGACTCAAATCAGCTAACAGGAGCTTTATAAACCTCTTACAGTCACACAGACCTGCAGAAAGCATAAATCATCTGTGATTCATACGGTTATGAACACACAGAAACAGGAGTTGTGGAACAGCAGTAGTGTATTACACACTTACAACATATAGGACAGTGTTCCCATCAAGAGTGTGTCACGTCCTGCTGCCATTCTACCTCTCTTTCTGCCAATATCCGCCTGTGTGTGTGTGTGTGTGTGTGAGTGTGAGAGAGAAAGAGAGAGAGAGTGTGTGTGTGTATGTGTGTGTCTGTGTGAAAATGAGAGAGTGTGTGTGTGTGTGGTTGGCAAAACTGGCTCCCCTATTCAGTTCATGAGTGTGAGTGTGAATTGTTCACACCCCACAAGATGTTGAATTGATGTTTGAATTGAAATGACAGCATGATGAATTTACTGTACTGCAATTCAAAGATATTTACACAACGGATGAATTGCATTAGTAAAACACAAGCTTTGAGACCAGATATAAATAATCACATAATTCACTTTGACTAATTATGTCAATTTATTCCATGACATGTACAATATATATTTTATACTGCGTCTGCATTTTATTTTCTGGTGTTCTGCCATCTTGATCCATCAAATAAAAGACACTAAAATTTAAACTTTAATGTAACTATATACAGTTTAATATAAATGCATATGTTGTCCTACAATATAGTATATGCATTTCATTGAATGTTCATATTTGTGTTTGGGCTCAGATGGGAGCTGATGCAGTCAGAACAGACATGAGAGTAGACAGCAGGACGATCTGTCACCGCTCGGCGTGTGTGTGTGCATGTGTGTGAGTGTGTGTGTGTGTGCGTTTCATTTTCTCATGCATGTTTTCTAGAGTGCTCTAATGGCTGACAAATATCAGTACATTTGCAATGCTGAAGCAGGTGGCTCTTTATCTCTTAAAAATAAACGTAAAATGTAAAAATTAATAAAACATTTTTTAACAATAACATACATTCATGTATATATGTATATGTATATATATATATATATATATATATATACACACACATTGCAATCTATATTATGAGCATTACCAACAATAAGCTGCAAGATGGTGAACTGAGGCATGCAGATTTCTGCATTTTTAAGGACTTTATTATACTAAACCAAAAAATAATAATGGCACAAATGTAGTCATAAAGCCCACCAGTGAGGTAAGGGAGAGTAAAATAGCATCCTACCCGCCGACATCTCCATCCCCTCCAATCTCTAACTACAACCTCCAGACTGGACATTGATCTATTATCTATCATCATCTTGAAAAACTGTCTGACATGACAGTGACATGACTGACTCAGAACTTGTTAGTGACTCTAAAGCAGTGCATTCATTATGTGAGGTTTTCTCACCTGTGTAAAGGTCAGACGCTCTGTGTTTTACATCCACTGACCTTTACAACCTCTCCGTGATTTCACAGAGAGAGCAGAAATCCAGACAGATGAAGGTGTTAATTAAACAGCCCTGCATAATGTTGGGAAAGAAATATCTGCACCTTCCCAAGAGGCCACACAAATTTATCTCCCCAAAAGTTACACATGGAAATGCGTCCTCATCGTTCAACAGATCTCTACGCCAGACTGTGTCGCAACACAAATTACATTAATCTCAACTTTGAGACACAAGCACCTTCTGCAGATTCTCTAGCTGCAGGATAAGCCACTATGTAAGCATAACAGTCCCGAGCTGCACGTTTTCATTTAATTTTAAGGGAATATCCAGTGCCAATGTGGCGTAGATTTAGTTTTGAATGAGTAAAACACACGTTTCCTGCATTTTGCACTTCAAACACATGCAAATATAGAAAACGGCTGACAACGGCTTCAGCAAACAGACCGTTGCAAGAGTGGATTGAGTGTGTTAATGAAATGAACTAAAGAAGAAGACACTGATTTCCAGAGGGCAGGAGAGACGTCTGCACACTTAATCTGACTGATTATAAAGGCAGACTAATAATACCGCTGTCATTGACTGCTAATCCACGGACTTAGTGCCATGTCATGCTAAAACCATTTGAGACGCACAAAATTAAAAGACATGTCACTTCTCATGCATCCAAGAGCACTAATAAAAGTTACATTATGAGCTGAGCCTCAAATCTCTAACAACGCCATACAATTATATTTAGTGTATTACTGTTCAAATAGGTCTTAAGAATGCAAATAGGCCAATGTTGTACAAAAAATATTTTTACTTAAAAGTGCAAATATCACAAAAAAATAGCATATGCATGTTTATTATTCTTTTCCTTTCCATTTTGTAATATTCATCCAGTAGATAATGTGGATGAAGATCACTGAATCTTACTTTAACAGCATGTCATTGAATTCTGTTCCTATGAAAATTATTATCAACATTAGCTAACAGTTTCATCTACAGTTTTTATCTGATTAAACTGAACTGAGAATGAGCTCCTTTTTAATTGTAGTCTTTAGTGCCTCTGCGAGCGCTGGGCATCGGTTAAGTGTATTTGCGAAAGGCCGGTGTGTGTGTGTGTGTGTGTGATTTGAAATGCTTCACCAAACAAACAAACAAAGAGACTGGTTTTTATCTGATTAAACTGAACTGAGAATGAGCTCCTTTTTAATTGTAGTCTTTAGTGCCTCTGCGAGCGCTGGGCATCGGTTAAGTGTATTTGCGAAAGGCCGGTGTGTGTGTGTGTGTGTGTGTGTGTGTGATTTGAAATGCTTCACCAAACAAAGAGACTCCCGAACCAAAGCAAAACACCTTCAAATTCAAGACAAAATACAACACCCACTGAATCGTCTCGCAGCGTTTAATTTATCTACAGCACAGGAAATTGAGCTCAGTCCTCGCTGCGGCGTCTGCCCACATTCGCACACACATGATATTCTCCAGCATCACAAAACCAAACACCTCCACACACCATCTGACTCTCTTTGACGCGCTTGGCTCTGCCGAGGGGCCGGAATAGCTGTGGATAGCTGGCCCGAGGACAGAGAGCCCGCTTATGTGCCGAGGACAGAATTCATCTGTCTAAATGGGGCAGTGGCTATTCAGGAGCTCCAAATCGCCACAATCCCACTGCCTTATGCAGCAAATATCTTTCATTCCACGCCGAATGTGTGGTGTTTGGCGTTTGACAGCCGCTCATCTCTTCCGGAGCTCAGTTCACTGTGCAGGACAGACGGGATGAGCGCTTTAATGAGTCCAGATGGGCCCGAGCGCGGCTCCTGCATTCAGCGACGCTGCAAGGACACTAACGGGGATGATTTGCATACTAATCTATGGCTGCAAATATTCAGCCTTGCTAATGAAATAATAGCCTGCTCTTCATTTACATAATAAAATCATTATTGTGTCTGATAAAACCTCAAGGGCAAAGCCCGTTCGCAGTCGCCAATAAACACGGGTTAACAACTCCATCCCGGCACGCTCATAAACAGCCGCTTATTAATAGTGACAAAAGTGTAGGACACAAATCAGCATCAAATCAGCCCACATTCTCGAATTAAAACTCAGAAATCGATTTCTAATATGTGACCCTGGACCACAAAACCAGTCATAAGGGTCAGTTTTTCAAAATTGAGATGTATACTTCAACAGAAAGCAGAATAAATAAGCTTTCCATTGATGTATGGTTTGTTAGGATCGGACAATATTTGGCCGAGATACAACTATTTGAAAATCTGGAATCTGAGGGTGCAAAAAAATCTAAATATTGAGAAAATCATCTTTAAAGTTGTCCAGATGAAGTTCTTAGCAATGCATATTACTAATCAAACATTACGTTTTGCTATAGTTACAGTAGGAAATGTACAAAATATCTTCATGGAACATGATCTTTACTTAATATCCTAATGATTTTTGGCATAAAAGAAAAATCAATAATTTTGACCCATACAATGTATTTTTGGCTATTGCTACAAATATACCCCTGCGACTTAACACTGCTTTTGTGCTGCAGGCTCACATAATCGCAAGCTAGCCAGATGTGGAAAACAGTATTGCGGGAGGTGATGAATTCAATCATAAAGCCATCAGCTCCTCAACCAAATTGAAAAACAGAAATAATGATCCAATCAACATGAAGAAACACAGATAGTGCTTGTGTTGTTTTCGGTAAAATAGGGAAATGTTATTTTACAGAAGGTTAGTCACAGACAGCGTCAGATTAATCAACTAGAGATCTCGTTCTGCATTGCTCCGTTTTATTATGTTCAGCTTTA